CCCGCCACATACCAACCACACAGCAAGGATCTGTTACCCCAAACCACACAGGCCCACAATGCTCCACTGGGAAAACACCCAGCCCCTCCCCAAGTCCAAGCAAAGAGGCAGCAAGACATTCCCGCACACAGGGGGTGAGGCACAACCTACCTCCGGGCCTTTGTACGGCCGCCCATTGATGATTTCGGGGGATGCGTAGAGAGGGCTGCCGCAGTAAGTCTGCAGAAGCTTGTCTTGCTGGTAAACGTTGGACAGGCCAAAGTCTGCAATCTAGAGAGACAATCCTAGCTGTTACCGAGCAGCACAGTTCCCCTTCCAAGGCAGAGCAGCATTGCCCCCTGAATCGCTCCAGCTACACACTTGGCTGAAGCCAGGGCTGCCCTTGGCACTCAAGTCCTGGGTGTCCTCAGTCTCCTCAGGGAGCAGCAGCACCCTGCCTTTCCACCCCTAAGGCTGTTCTCACCCTCCTTCCCCTCCCAAAAACCTTGTCCCAGCTACCACAGCAGCAGCCCTGTGGCTCTGCCCCTCCAGCCCCATCACTGGTGTGCTGCAAAGGTGTGGTTAGAGGGAGAGCTGCCGGGCTCTCCTCCAGCTCATTCACAGGCACATGGGGCAGCTTCAGTCCCTATCTGCCCCACCTAGCATAGGCATTCATTATTCTCATTACACCCGTCACCTCTCAGCGAGCAGAAGGTACAGTCCCTGCTTACAAACTCCCATTGGAAAATTACCCCTTACAGAAATAAACCCTGCAGCCAGTTTATCACAGACCGCACCGATTCCCGGCTGCGGCTGTGCCCTTCCTCCCTGGGCAGCTGCAGAGTTCCCAGCCGAGGTAAAAAGCATCGCCTGGGGTCAGCGGAGCCAGGAATTGCCCCACACCCTCCCTCCACCAGCCTGGCTGGCGCGTACAAGGAGCGGGACTTTCACTGGAAGCGCCCTTCCTCATCCATCCAGCGAGGCTTTGACCTCAGCGTTCAGACTTTGCCCCCTTATCAGCAGTCAGATACACAGTTATGGCTTCAATATAAGCAGGTAAAAAGCATCGCCTGGGGTCAGCGGAGCCAGGAATTGCCCCACACCCTCCCTCCACCAGCCTGGCTGGCGCGTACAAGGAGCGGGACTTTCACTGGAAGCGCCCTTCCTCATCCATCCAGCGAGGCTTTGACCTCAGCGTTCAGACTTTGCCCCCTTATCAGCAGTCAGATACACAGTTATGGCTTCAATATAAGCAGGACTACCCACTCCGCTGCCAAGTGCGGATAGCAGGGGCAGGTACAGGCACCCTCCTGGCTCCCCATCTCCTGGGTAAACAGCACTGCAGACCGATGCCGGCAGTCCCAGAGCCAAGAGATGCTTCCCAGAGCTGTGGAAAACCTTGGAGGGACCAGGGTGTTGTGACCACCCCCAGTCCCTCCACGCTGGGCAGCATCCCTCAGACCCCTTTGCCGGGTGACACCCAAAGCGTGGCCATGCTCTGCCAGTCTCTCACCTTGATGTTCCCGTTTGCATCAAGAAGGATGTTCTCCAGCTTCAGGTCCCTGTGAACGATCCCATTCTGCATGAGGGAAGGGAGAAGCAGCTTGAGTTTAGGGTGTTTGAGGAAGGGAAAGTCAGGCAGCACGGGAAGGTCACTGCTGTTCACCAGCATGCAAACAGGACACAGTGACGGCAAACAGAGGAGCAGTAAACAACCCTGGGTGCGTGGATGAGGACGGGCCGTAAACCACGTCCTGACATGGGTGCTACCAGCTTCCCCAGCTGCTTGGGAGCAGGAGCAGGGTGGCACCCCGCACCAGCGCCCAGTGCCAGGCACCACGCTGGGTGCCCGCACCCTCCCCAGCCACACACCCATGAGAGCGGCTAGTGCCAGTGCCCACAGGGCACAGTGAGGACAGCTCCATGCCCTTCCAGGACCTGCTGCTTCCCAGCTAAGCAAAACCCCGTTTGCTTTGGGTTCAGGACATGCCCTGAAACCCCTCATCCTGCCAAGGGTATGCAGGTACCCAGGACCAAGGCACAGCCAGGCCTTAAGAGCATCTTCCAAGGGAGACCCAGAGGCTCAAGGGTCCTTTCTCCCACAGCCCCAGACAGGGTCCTATTGCTTTACATCCTTTCTATGGGACAAGACGGGTGACTCAGGGCTTGGCTGTCGCCCCAGCAGACAGCCCTGGGCGGGAGGGGAGTCGATAACTTCTGGCCAGGGTTAGTCAGCTCCACGCCACAGCAGCCAAGGCAAGGACTTTCCAAAAGCTGCTCCGGCACTGCCTCCACGAAAGCCCGAGGGCTGCCACACCCTTCAGATAAGAGGCAGGATTAACCCCTCTTCCAGGAAAGGCCAATGGCCATGAGATTCCCTCACTGCCCAGCCCAGGCTGAGCTTTCCCACCGGGCACTGCATCCCTACAGAACCCCGGCTGCACCTCTGCCCGGAGCCAGCCCTGCTGAGCACACTGGAGCCAATCACTCAGCCTTCCCCCCTGGAAGGTGGTGGGAAGCAGGGTGCTGACCCACCTTATGGCAGTAGTAGACGGCAGACACGACCTGCCGGAAGAAATGGCGTGCCTCCTGTTCCGTCAGCCGCTGCCGCTCGCTGATGTAGTCGTACAGGTCACCCTTGCTGGCGTACTCCATCACAATGACGATCTTGCTGCTGTTCTCAAACACTGCGCGGAGATGGGAAGCCACAGGGTGTTAGGAGGGATGCTTGGAGCTAAGGGATTTCTCGTTAGCACATGCTTTTTAATGAGCAGGTAGAGCTCTGACCAACTCTAACACCCTGCCCGCCCCATTGCCTGTGCCCTCAGCCCGTTTTGCAGAACGGAAGGTGTCGGGGTGTCTGCAGGTCCCTGCTCCGCGGTTGGACAGAGCTGCCACCCCTATCCCAGTGCCACTGGGGCTGCTGGCCAAGCAGCCTCCACAACCACAGAGCTCAGGAGAAAGGGCTCTGCTCTGCCAGGAGGTGACTAAGGCGCGTGGTTCTTGGCTAGATAGAGCCTTTTCCAAGGGGGAAGATGACGGAGCTACCGGCTGGCACGGCCACGTGGCCTTTCTGCGTGTTCCCGTTGCTCCCAAACAACGCTCTGGCTCAAGCCAAGAGATGGAGCATTTTCTTCCTGTTTGCAGAAAGTTACCTCAATATTTTTGAATTCCAGCAGCCAGTGTGTGACTCAGCCCTCGCAAACACAGCGTCTGAACTGCCAATCCACTTGCTTTTGTTTAGAGGACAAAGGGCCTCTGGAAACCTCACCTACCCCAGCGATAACACCGGCACAGCACAGTGAACCCCGGCAGAGCCACCCCCGAGGAAGAGCATGGGGCACGCTGGGTTTGCAGCCAATGGATTCAGGGTTTAAGCAAAGACTCTAAGTCCAGTCAAAGCTAGAGCTTGAGAAATTCCCCCTCGGTTGGTGTTGCCCCCGTACCCTGGGAGCAAAGCCCAGCCCTGGCTGCAAAGCCAAGCCCAGCAGCACCAGGAGCTCTCCCAGCACCCTGTGGTTTGGTTTTCCTGTGCCCCAGGGGAGGGAATGAGAAGGACTCCAATGCTGAGATCAGCTCCTGCCTCGGGCTGGGAGCAGAGCCACAGAGATTCCCACTGCTCTGGCACTTGCCGTGGCTGGGGCGAGCATCCAGCACAACCAGAGCCACACACTGGGCTTTGCCAGGGACCCTGGCCACCAGCTTCTTCCCCCTCCCCGTCCCCCCCCTCCCATGGCACAGCCTCTCACTGGCAGCAATGACGAGGCTTCCAGCCTCAAAAGGCCACAAACTCTTGGAGCCGGCTTCCCTCTCCGGGCGGGAGGGGATGGGATAGGAAGTGGCTATTTCTGGAGCAGGTATTTCCCTTTGCCGCTGCGGGCGGGGAGTACGGTGGAGAAACCGCAGCCCGGCAGCGTCTCCTCTCCCAGACAGCACAGGCAACGGCAAACAGCTTCCGCTCGGAACGAGGGGAGGGAGGAGAGCACGGCGCGCTGACCCCACTGCTGCAGCCCCCCGGGGATGCTCTGTCCAGGGATGCTGCTGGAAAGCAGAGGGGAGAGGAGGGCTCACCTTCGTGGACAGCGATGATGTGGGGGTGGTTGAGGGAGGACATGATCTCAATCTCTCTCCGGATATGGACAAGATCCTGCTCATCCTTGATTTTGTCTTTCCGGATTGACTTGATAGCCACCTGCGGACGAGCACACGCAGAGTGTCATCCAGCTGCTGGAGCTTCCCAAAGTTTGTTGCAGAGCAGGAAACCCACCCACCCCTCTTCCAGGAAGGGGCTCAAAGAGCAAGAAATCAGTGCCCTGCTTCTCCACCCAGGCGTGCTGTATCCAAGGGCCGTGCTGCACAGCTCCACTGAAGAAACTCCAATTAAAAACTTAATTAATCAAGTTTTTATACCTTCCAAGCCCTGTTGCTGTGCACAAGGGAGGCTCCCCCTGCCTCCCCCTCCAAGGGAAACCTGCTGCCAGCTCCCCAAGCCCCCTCCCATAGGTGGCACAGCCCTGCTCCTCACCGACATGCCACGGCTTACAGGAATTGTGTCCCAGGCTAGAGCGGCTGCTGGACCGCAGCCAGCCAAAGGAATGTGACCTGCACACATGACTTGGAAGATAACAACAACAACGTCTTCTCGCGGTCATGAAAATGTAATAAACAGGTTTCGTTTTCCTTGCAAATACTTATTTCAAGGAGCTGATTATGTGGAGGTAAGAGAAAGTTCGGTATTAGGGAGCAGACCCCTCCAGCCAGCTGGGAGACCCAGCACCAGTGATGGGAGCCGCGTTCCAGGCTTTTCCTTGGGTTTTCAAGTTATCCTCTACAAGGAAATTGAAAGGGGAGGAGAAAGAAGAGTAAGTACTGGAGAATAGATGCCTTCTAATCCTTTTTCAAAGGGGCTGGGGAGAGACAATGTGCTCCTAGGGTTGAATTTACAACTGAATCCAGCAGAACCTCTTTTTTTGTATCAGACAAGAATGCAGAACAGCATTAATTCCATAAAGGGACCCCTGCACCCGGTCTCCCAGCAACGGGGAGAGGGGCCATGGACACCCGCCGGCCCCAACTGCCGGCACAGGAGTGATGCTCATGGCTACGCTGAGCAGGGACCCTCCTCCGCCTTTGGCTGGCGGGACGGATGCTCAGCCTCGTGTCCCTCTGATTTAGGGGAACTGGAAATCTCGCTCCTCCAGCCCCAGGCACATGGGAGACAGCCAATGGAGGCTCTTTGGCCCCAGAGCACATCTCTGCTGCACTGGACCGCTTCAGGTCAGCACTGGCCATGGGGGGGTGGTTTGCCTCCTGTGCACCAGAGGAGCATCGTGCCTGCACCAGCCCCAGGGGTTGAAGTAACCAAGCAGAACGGACTCTGGCCAAGGGAAGTTCAATAACCCAAGCCCCAGTTTCTGTACGAAGCAATACTGAAGGCTCTTCATAGCTCCTTGAAAGCCAGGTATTCTTTTCCCTGACCTTTGTGCTAGGTTAACAGTTTAAAGTTTAACAATTTTTTGCTCCAGCCCTTGATTACCTGACTGCCACTAGAATGCAGGCAAAGCCTTTATGCAGCAAATCAGCCTGCTCTTACCCTCCCAAATTCCTGTTAACTCACTCCATTCATCTACTCCCTAAAGCTCAACATCCAGCCCAACAGCCTCAGCATTTTGGGGTGCACGCAGCATGTTTGCTTGCTGACCAAAACGCTCACGCGCATACACTGCCGAGCCAGCGCTCAGGGCGAGATTCACTGTCCATAAAAAGATAAAGTGGCTCCAGGCTGCCAGCATGGGAAGCCTTAGGAGATGCCACTGGCTGTATTCAGAGTGCCAGAGATGAGGTTGTTGCCTATGAGCCCGGCAGTTAGTGACCTCCGAGGCAGAGGAGTCACCCTGCAGCAGAGCAGGTTTAGGGCACTGTTAGCGCCCCAGGGCTCTCCTTGCTGAGCGCTGCCAGGCCAGGCACAGCGAGGATAGGGCACTGTTGGGGCCCACATCTCCTACAACAGAGACTGAACCAGTTGACAGGCAGATAAATCATCCCACCACAACAACCCCGGCTAGGGAGGCTAATCCCTTGGCCATCCCATCTTTCCCCAGGGGTGCAAGGAAGCAGCTTTGTTCCAAAAACATCCCCTACCTAACGGTGCTGAGAGCAGAGGAAAGAAGAACCAGAAAAGGCCATGCACAGCCACCCTGGGGTTGGGGACCAGCATCTTCAGGGACAGACACTGCCGCAGCCTACACACTGCTCAACCAATGCTATGAGAAGAATCTCCTGCAGGAAACAGCCCCCAGAAGTGCTGCTGCAGGAGCTTAGAGAACTTGAGTGTACTTTCAAAGTCAAAAAGACTTTTAATTAAAAGGTTTTTTGGGGGCAGAACAGGTATTTTCAGCAGCAGCTGAAAGATGCATTAAGCTACAACCCCAGGCAGCACTTTAGAAGTTGTTCCAGATTGCAAGTACGGTGTTTCATGCTCCATGAAATATGGATTACAACCCACTACGGAAGAGAACAGGGTTTACCCCTTACCGGAGATCAAGAGAGTCTTTGCTGCTTTGGAAAATTCCAGGTGCTGCCTTCCCCTTGACACCACACAAGCCCACAAATACATTTCTGACACTGCAAGTGAGTCCCACTGGAGGCTCCCCTTTCCATTGATTTGGCTGCAGGCCAGGGCTTGGGAACCAGGCTGGGAGAAACACCAAGCTGGGAGAAAAAAAGACCAGATGCTGCCACACAAACAGGTGCCAGAGCCAGTTTGTGCCTCCACAGCACACGTTACTGAATCTTCAAAAGATGAATGGGAAAAAGGAAAAAAAGGAAATAAAGAGCCAGCAACTCCCTCCCCACCTGCTTGTGCAGGGGCACAATAATTTTCCAAGGACTGGGAAGGATGCTCAGCAGATGTACCCACTAAGATGCACGAGCATTGTTTCACTGAAGGATTTCTAACCAGAAAACAAGATTTTAAGACAGAGTGTTCCCAAAAAAAATCCTTCAGCTGCAGGAGCCTGATCCTCCTTGCAGTCTACCGACTGATTAGACACACCTCGCTCCGAGCTAAGGCCAGGTAGGTTGGTTAAAATTCAAAGGAAAAAAAAAAGCAGTAAAACGAGATGGTTCAATATTCAGTGCATCTGACAGAGGCGGTTTCTGATTAGCCAGAGGCAAAAACCACGCGTGGAGCAGCTCCAGCTTTACAGCCTCAGCTGGTAACGTGGGATCCGCAAAGCCCACGAGGGATAACCGGCGGAGGCAGCAGTACCTGCTCTCACACCTCGGTGTTTTTAGGAAGTGAAAGCCACTTAGAGAAGGAGCAAATAACAACCCGGCTCAGGATAAGCCTGAAGATTAAACAGGTCTGGAAATGCTGAGCGCTACAAGAAAGAATTTGTGGGAAGAGGAGAGATTTGTGGTTAAGCCTCCTGTTCCTACATGGCCAGCTCGCTGGGCTACTAGTTAGCCAAGCCTCTATATCCGTCATTTATTGAGGAGTCATTGGCCTGTGTATTTAATTAACATTACAATGGGCCGATGCTGCCAGACAAAGAGTCCCTGTCCTAAGGGGCTTCCACAGATAGGTAAATTTTCTGGGAGCTCAGAGATTCCCTGGACAAGCTCTGTTAGGGGCAGACAGGGAAAGCCAAGTCTCCTCGCCCATCGAGATTCCCTAGACAAGCTCTGTTAGGGGCAGACAGGGAAAGCCAAGTCTCCTCACCCATCCTGAGGGGAGGGATCCTTCTAGGTCCGTGGGTGGGAGCTGCATTTCAAGGCCCTGATTATGCAGCAGAACAGCAGCTTCTTCAGAATGAGCCAGGCTAATGGAAATGGCAGATCTGGCTTAATTAAGAGCTGTGGCTTTACAAGTGAAAACCTCTCCAATTTATGGTTCTTTGCCTCTGTGGCACCTCCATGACCCAACCTGCTCAACCCTAAGGCTGGTCTCACCACCCGCAGCTGGACCCTCATCGCTCACCCCACGGTCTTACACGGGTTGGCGTGGGAGTGGGTCCCATCCTGCGCCACAGAACAGGGTAAATCACATCCAGGTTTGCCCTTTGAACCCTTCCTAAAGGACAGGGCGGCCAGGACAGCAGCACCCTGCTTTCTGAGTGTCTCCCACCTCTCCTCCACATTTCCAGCAGGCTGGATCGCTGTGCCCTGGGTTCAGCCGTGCATTGCACAGAATCACTTGCTTCGGAGGGGCTGAGACAGTGATTGTGTCACGATTTGAGCCACACTCGGGGCTCAGCTTTGCTGGCGCGTTGCACGCCAAGAGCCAACACGCCAAACCAACCCCAAACCATGGCAAGAGGAAGGGAAAAATCCTTGAGACTCAAGTGCAATATTTGCTCTTCGCTGCCGGATATCTCCAGGCTCCTTTCACCAGGAAGCCCGACACGGTCAAGTGGGCGAGGGGAGCTAGAAGCCCCCCC